GTGTGTATGTGTGTGTGTGTGTGTGTGTGCGCGCGCGCGTTGGCGTGCAAGCAAAAGATAGATAGCAGGACAGAGAAAAGAGAAAGGCATGCGGACAGGGCAGCACGGGATGAACAGAGTGGCAGATCGTGCGTGCACGTGGGTGTGCAAGCAAAAGATAGATAGCAGGACAGAGAAAAGAGAAAGGCATGCAGACAGGGCAGCACGGGATGAACAGAGTGGCAGATCCGGGGGCGTGCAGGGGGGGGGGGGGGGGGGGGGGGGGGGGGGGGGGGGAGAGAGAGAGAGAGAGAGAGAGAGAGAGAGAGAGAGAGAGAGAGAGAGAGAGAGAGGCATATGTAGATCCCACATGGGCCCTGTAGGACCCGTCAGGTATGTAGAAAGGGCTAGGGACCTGGCTTTGGTCTGGCGCATTAGGTTTTGGTGCCAGAAGTAGGGCCTGTGTCGGTTCAGGCCAGAACGAGGGCCATTTTAGGCCCACACCAGGTTCGGCCAGGCCAGGCCCTGGTACTGGTAACTGTTCAGGCCCTGGCCTTCTTTTTTGCCCAGGCCACACTTGGACCATCAGATTTGATCCAAGTGTACGGCCTGATTGATTTCCAGGCCACTCATTCTGGGCCTCACGTTTAGGCCAGTAGGACCCGGGAGTGGCCAGACCAGTAGTAGACTGGTCTGCCTCTCACTAGGCAGGTTAGTGTGAGCTACTATTCATCGTTATGATGTGTTATTCTTCAGCGCTGGGCGCAGTAGCGGTAGGCCAGAGGTGGTGAGCGTGGAGGCTGCAGTGGAGACTGGAGCGGGAGAGGCGGAGGCCAGGCTCGGGGACTTACCTGATGACTCACCTAGGGGCGCCATTCTTCAGCGCTCCAGTACCGGCGCCAAGGCGACACCTTTTGTGGTCAGTATCTGGTGTCAGCACACACACACACACACACACACACACACACACACACACACACACACACAGAGAGAGAGAGTTATCGGGGAGCTGAGCTTGGTGACATTCGGGCTATTGCCCTGTTCTGGTATTCGGGCAAACACCTTTTGTGGTCAGTATCTGGTGTCAGCACACACACACACACACACACACAGAGAGTTATCGGGGAGCTGAGCTTGGTGACATTCGGGCTATTGCCCTGTTCTGGTATTCGGGCAAAGACCCGCCTTTGGACAATGTGCTGAGATTCGGACCTCGGGAAACTTCAGGATCGATGACATTGGCGACTTGGCCTTCTCGCCCCACTCTTCCCCTTCGTCTCCATCTCCCTCCTACTTCGTCTGTGGATGGTCTGGGTAGAGCGCCCCTTCTGTGTATGATGCGCTGCCCCTCATCTCACTGAGTGGTAAATGAACGAGTGAGCATTGTCCATTCCAATCTTGCTGAGTCAGAGTGTATGTTCCATTCTTCCGCTGCGTTCTATTGTCTGTTGCTGGGGTCAGTTCCGTGGATCTGTGCTACACTTTGCTATGTGTAAATGTGTGTGTGTGTGAGAGATAGATAGATAGATAGATAGATAGATAGATAGATAGAGATAGAGATAGATAGATAGATAGATAGATAGATAGATAGATAGATAGAGAGAGAGAGAGAGAGAGAGAGAGAGAGAGAGAGAGAGANAGAGAGAGAGAGAGAGAGAGAGAGAGAGAGAGAGAGAGAGAGAGAGAGAGAGAGAGAGAGAGAGAGAGAGAGAGAGAGAGGGTTGAGTAAGGATCACAATGCATAATGTGGATGTTTGCTGAGTAGGGTGGAGGGCAGGGCTGTTGATATCGGATTGGCATTTGGGTTATTCACTTTGTGATGTGGGTTTTGTTCCTGGCTCTGCTTTCCTTCAGATATTCACAGCGGCAGCGGACAGGGAGAAATTGAAGAGTTGCTTTGGAGAGTTGTCAGAAACAAGTAACATTTTTAGAAAAGTGGCAATGGCTGGTTTGGACCAGCTGACTAACACAATCACTCCACGGGTCCGTGTCGTCCTCGATGGTGTCGCGGCGGTGGACTACGAGCTTACCGAGTCGCAGTATGCAGAGAATGAAGTTAATGACCCATGGGTGCAGCTGCTCCTGCACACGGTGGAGACAAATACATTATGGTTGCAGTCGTTGTTGACGACAAATAACTACGATGCGCTCATATTGTCGATTGTCGACTTCATCGTGAAGAGACTGGAAGCCCTGATGTCGCAGAAGCGGTTCAATCAACTGGGGGGCCTGCAGTTGGATCGTGACGCGAGGACGCTGGTATCTCATTTCTCGACGATGACGCAGCGGACAGTCCGTGACAAATTTGCACGGCTAACGCAAATGGCGACGATACTCAACTTGGAAAAGGTGTCCGAGATTTTGGACTACTGGGGCGAAAACTCGGGACCTATGACGTGGCGACTGACTCCGGCGGAGGTCCGCAGGGTTCTTTTGCTACGAGTCGACTTCAAACGGGAGCTGGTCGAAAGTCTAAAGCTCTAATCCTTTTATAGATTCATTGCTCTTTTATCGAAATAAATGAGTTGCTAGTTTCAGTGGGTATGGAATGCGAATTCGCTGCGTCTTTCTCTGGTTAGTAGTGAGATCGACGGAGTGCATGCTTGCATCGGCCATCTCCCAACTCACAGGTAAAACATGGGTCAGTTTCCCACTTCCTTTTCCTTCTCCAGAAGTTGGTTTTGTCTCTGGCTTTATCTTTACTGCCAGTGGGGTATCTTTCAGTTTTTCAATTCACTGCAAAGGATTGTGTATCGGGGAAAAGAGCGCATGGTACAGTCGAACATCATTTACTTTTCGTTTGGCGACCTTCTTCCGCCGAATACAACGTACGGTCATTACAGCTGTATTTGGGGTATCTTTCAGTCTCAATACACAGCTATAACGACGTCTTTATAGCTGTATTTAGACTGAAAGATACTCCAAATACAGGTGTAATGACCGTACATTGTACATTGTATTCGGGGGAAGAAGGTAGTGCCCCCTGCTTGGAGCAGAGATGTGCATCTCTTTATCTTTTGCTTGAAGTACAGATGTGCATGTGTATCTTGTATTGATGGTGTGCTTGCATCCCGGGAAGTGTACATTGCATCCCATGATCATTGTGTGTGCTTTTCACAGCCCGTCGTTTGTTGTCCTCTTCTCCCTCTCTGCCGACGGTTAACCGGGCACCAACAATGCCCCCGGCGCCTCAAAAAATCTGCACGTGGCTGGCCGTGGGGTGGGGCCGGTAGGCTAGGCGGCAGGCGCTCGCCAGCTTTTCGCAAGATGTCGAGTGGGCCAACTTTGGCAGTCTTTTGTGCTCAGTATCATTGACAAAAATATCTGGAAAAAGGTCATGAACGTAGATCGAGTGCCGCCTTTTTTGAAAAATGATGCAAATTTTTTTTTGCTGGCGTACCAATGAGCTAGTCCAGTCCATACACCCATAAACTGCTAAGGGTGACGCCTGTGCGACTGGGTGGGTACCGTAAAGGTCTACTGGTGTGGGATGCTCTTAGCCATTAACCCTGAGATGAGGTGGGATGGTACCTGCGCTCTTGAGCTGAAATGCCAACTGCCTACCTTGCACGGGTTGGCTTTAGACACTACTGTTACTCGATGGGGTTCCAGAGTACATATTCGGCCACCTCCTGGTCCACTTTGTACTCATCGCCTGCCCCGATTTTGGTGGAGGGTCTACAGACTCTACACTAATTTGCTCCGAGGACCCTTCAGGGCCCTCTGATATGTGTGAAAGGGATCCTCTGCTCTCTCTCTCTCTCTCTCTCTCTCTCTCTCTCTCTCTCTCTCTCTCTCTCTCTCTCTCTCTCTCTGTCTCTCTCTCTCTTGCTCACTCTCTCTCTCTCCCCTGTATACACACACACGCCCCTAAAAAAAGCAAATGAAGTACAATAATTATGAAATAACAATTAAAAAACAAACAAAAATTGAGTGCATCACTAATTTCGGCATGGCGGATGGTGCACGCGTACTGCACGGCGCATTGCAGAAGTGCGCTGGAAGTATGATCTGGACCGAAAGTTGCACAAAATACACAGCTATAAGGACTGGGTGTTCTATTCGGGTGAAGACGGTAGTTGCCGTCTGGCCCTGTGCCCTATTCTACGTCGTACTACCTCGTGCTAGCTAGCGTTTACTTCGTCACGTGCTGTCCATGTGTCACTTGCTCAATGCTGCTCGAAGGCTCTGCTCATACAGGCTCCGAAAAGTACGCCCGGTCATTAGCACTGCATCTGGACTTGAAATTGCACCGAATGCACAGCTATAATGACTGGACGCTCCATTCGGGTGAAGATGGTTGTGGTATGCCTGCCCAAATCTATGTCGGTCATTATCACTGTATCTAGACTGGAGGTTGCAACCGAATGCAGCTATAATCTACGGCGGTCATTATAACTGTATCTAGACTGAAAGTTGAACCAAATGCAGCTATAATGACCGGGCGCTCTATTCGGGTGAAGACGGTTGCGGTATGCCTGCCCTAACCCATGTCCTATGAGCTCTGCGCATGCTACCAAGCGTCTTCCTCGTCACTCGTTGTCCACTTGTCAGTCGCCCAGTGCTACTCGAAGGCTCTCTGCTCATACAGGCCCCAAATGGAACGCCTGGGCATTAGCACTGTATCTAGACCAAAAGCTGCAGGAATGCTGCTTTAATGACAGGGTGCTCTATTTGGGTGAAGACGGTAGTTGCAGTCTGCCTGCCCTAAACTACGTCCTTCTTCCTCTACTGATGCTAGCTAGTGTCTACCTCGTCACTCACTGTCCACGTGTCACTCGCCCAATGCAGCTTGAAGGCTCTGCTCACGCAGGGTTCCTTCACCAAAACCAGGTAAGGACTGCTTGTCCCGACTGCCTGCATTCTCCTCTGCCTCCACACTCTGCCACTCAGCGCCCGGGTATGGTTGGTGTTCACTACACCCACCATAGCTGCTCTCCTTCTTCAGGTGCTGCTTTCCTTCTCCCTGCGCAACAGCGCTTATGCCATGCAGCCTCCTGCCAGTGTGTGGTGTACCTGGTGGCCTCCAGACTGTTGTGCTGGAGTGGCTGCCGCGTCCGGACCCAGCACGCAATGCCTGCCCTAACCTACGCGGGGACAGTGTCCAGATCCCAGTCTCTGTCACTAACTTGCGGGCAGGGCCTACCGGCCAGTTAAAGAGGTTGGCTCCTGGCAACCGCCAACTCCTAGGACCACTCGCCGGCCTTTACTTGGGGCCTCTGTAAGAATTCCAGGCCCGCCGTCACTCAGGGTGGCCGAGACGCATTTTCAGCAGCAGCGTCAGGCTGCCGAGGCCAGGAGCCTCACGCTGGGGTGGTCTAGGCTCGGGGAAGAGGGTGTCTGGTCGTTAAAATCGTCTCGGGCGCTGGTGGTGTCAAGCAGAAATGTGCATCTGATTTATAGGATGGTTATCCTGGTGCTTGTAGCAGAGATGTTGGTGCATGTTGTTTGATGAGAGAGAGGCTCGTCTGAATCTCGTACACAAATGTGTCCTTGGAAGCAAGCAAGGTATTTGCGGACCTGTGGTTGAAAGACGATATTGCTTCTTTGGGTACTCTGTGGCTTTGCATCGAGTCGTAATGTCCCATTCAAATGTGTGTGTGTGTGTGTGTGTGTGTGTGTGTGTGTGTGTGTCTGTGTCCGCGCGCGCCCGTGCCCGTGCTTGTGTGGGTCACACACGATGACGATGTTTCCATGCAATGGAAGCTTCGTATGATGTGTGGCATATTCCGTCTGACAATCTCATGCCCTGCTGTTCACCTAGATAAAATGCCCGCTCCAACCGGCCAGTTGCCGGCTTAACACTGATTGGTCATTCTCGAAGCTGTATCTAGACAGAAGCTTACCACCAATCAGTGTTAAGCCGGCAACCGGCCGGCTGGAGCGGCCTGGCTGCAACCGGGCCAGTTGGACTCAGGTCCTCCAATTGGGATTTTGTTTCGGCTAAAAAATGGTTGATTTTTTTTTTTTTTTTTTTGTTGTTGTTGTTGAAAGAGGGGTTTGGCCGCGTTTGCCGAGAACAGTCGGAATGCGCAAAGAAATCCGTGATCTGATTTTTTTTCCGGGGGTGGGGGGTTCAGGCAGGTTATGGTGGGGGTGGGGGTCTTAGTGCGGGTGTTACAGCAACCATGGGCAGCAGCACACAAGGTGGGAGGTTGACAAGAGGGAGGGGTTTGCATCTTGGTGTTGTGACGCCGGGCGAACCAATTTAAAAACGGGAGAGGAGGAAGAACAAGAGGAGGAGGACGAGGAGGAGGAGGAGAAGAAGAAGAAGAAGAGGAGGAGGAAGAAGAAGAATATGAAGACGAAGACAGAAAAGTAGTAGTAGGAGAAGATGGCGATGATGATGAATAGGAGAGGAGGAAGAAGTTGTGGAGTAGTAGAATGCGAAGAAAATCACGAGGAGGACGAGGACAAGGATGAGGACGAAGTAGTGGCGAAGAATAATAAGAAGAAAAAGGAAGACCAAAGAAGAAGAAGAAGAAGTGAAAGAAGAAGAAGAAGACGAAGATGAAGACGAAGACGAAGACAAAGAAAAGTAGTAATATGAGAAGATGATGATGATGATGATGAATAAGAGGAAGATGAAGTTGTGGAGTCTTTTAAAACAACACACACACACACACACACACACACACACACACACACACACACACACACACACACACACACACACACATGCGCGCGCGCGCACATACACACATGGAGTTGCAATGGCGGTCTGGTGTGGCCTGACAGCAGAAGGGGAGGCGACTTACCAAAGACAATGGCGGGCTGGCATAGTGTGGGGTCGCTCGTTGGCGGGTGGGAGAATTTCTTCGAACTTTGACGCATACGGGCGGGGTGCGGTAGTTGTTCGTGCCATTTTCCAATGTGATCTCGAAGTTTGAATTGCGGCCCATCTGGGCCGCCGATTGACAAAGATCAGTGGCCCGGATTGGCCGCTTTTGTTTTCACGAATTCAGGGGGGCCACCGGGCTTTTTCTTTTGCCGCTCGACCGGCAGTGGGGTCCAGGAGCCCTGAGACATGACTTAGGCCCGAAAAAGAGAAGTTCCCAGCCGACAGCAAAATAGGCTTGGGTGAACTGGGGAGGCAACCGGGTTGGGCCGGTTGGTCCAACCAGGAGGCTCACGATTGAGGAAGGGGTCCCCGGTCGGACCGGGGACCAGCACAGCCGCAAATACAGCTGTAACTACCAAGCATTTTTTTATTTTTATTTTTTTACCTAGCGTTCTATTTGGGTGAAGAGGGTAGTATCCCTCGTCTTTTTCCTACCTCTCAACTTCTGCCCCCCCCCCCCCCGGTCTTCCATTGGCATCTGCAGCTGCAGGTTTCCTAGAAAGTTAGTGTACCCCAGGTGCTGCCCCATCCTAGAAAATCCCAAATCCAACTTCAGTGACACTCACAGCGGTATGTTGACTTGGTAATGGAAACATACAAAACACTTCGGACTTCATTTTTTGAGTTTTTTATTACCTCAAGGCGTACCTTTGCCACTAGCAACTTTTTAAGAAGATGACATGAGATCGAAAGAGGTAGCGTCGACAGTCTACAGAGTACTCCGTTCGCCCTCTTGCGACTCTGGGAGTGGACAGGCAGGGTGGTAGGTGGGTGGGCAGCAAAACAATGAAGTGTGCACAGGCAATGGAGCCAACAAGGCAAACCAACAAGTGGGCCGGCAATCGTGCACACGGCAGTTGTGTGGACAGCAAGGTAACACGTGCTAAACCGGCGAGTGGGCAGGGGCCAGTGCGGGACAGCAACAGCAAGGCAAGGAGATAT